CTCTCGCGTCCTTCCCCTTGCCTCCCCTGTCCCTCGATCAGCATCCTTCTTTTTCTACCGCCCCCGCTATCTTCCCTGCCGCTTTTACTCAGTCTCCCATTCCCTCTCCCCCTCAGCAAGCTATATTATGAAGTTTGCTTCAGACGGCACTGCACGCCTAACACGGTGCGCGCGCATGCGCAATATCTCTCGAGAGAAATCGTGTTTTGCAAAGATTATGCATTTAAAATGAAGAGGAGTTATCCTAGCATAGATTTATATGATAACATTCCATCTGTAGACATGATTTAAGAAATAGGAGGAAGACCTTACATGTAAGGTCCCGGCTGCGTATACCAGCCAGTACACAATATGGATTCGTTAATGTGTTAGCGCATGCGCAATATCTCACCAGAGGAGTTATATTTTGTCATGAATATGCATTTAAAATGGTTAGGGGGTATCTCAGCATAGATTTCCTTAATAAACTTTTATCAGTTGATATGTGTTTGTAATTAGGGGAGCGCCCTAGCATGTAGGGTACAAAACACCAACTTTATGCCCTCGCGTCCTTTCCCTTGCCTGTAGGTCGCTCAGCCTCCTTCTTCTTCTACCGTCCCCAGCTATCTTCCCTGCCGCCTTTTCTCAGTCTCCCATCCCCTATCCCCCTCAGCAAGCTATATTATGAAGTTTGCCTCAGACCACACTGCACGCCTAACACGGTGCGCGCGCGTGCGCAATATCTCCGGGAGAAATCATATTTTGCAAATATTATTCATTTAAAATGAAGAGGAGTTATTCTAGCATAGATATATCTGATAACATTCCATCTGTAGACATCATTTAAGATATAGGAGGAAGACCTTGCATGTAAGGTCCCGGCTGCGTATACCAGCCAGTACACAATCTGGCTTCGTCAATGTGATAGCGCATGCGCAATATCTCACCAGAGGAGTAATATTTTGTAATGAATATGCATTTAAAATGATTAGGGGGTATCTCAGCATAGATTTCCCTAATAAACTTTTATCAGTTGACATGTGTTTATAATTAGGAGAGCGCCCTAGCATGTAGGGTACAAAACACCTACTTTATGCCCTCGCGTCTTTCCCTTTGCCTCCCCTGTCTCTCGCTCAGCCTCCTTCTTCTTCTACCGCCCCAGCTATCTTTCCTGCCGCCTTTCCTCAGTCTCCCATCCCCTCTCCCCCTCAGCAAGCTATATTATGAAGTTTGCCTCAGATGGCACTGCACGCCCAACACGGTGCACGCGCATGCGCAATATCTCCAGAAAGAAATCGTGTTTTGCAAAGATTATGCATTTATAATGAAGAGGAGTTATCCTAGCATAGATTTATGTAATAACATTTCATCAGTAGACATCATTTAAGAAATAGGAGAAAGACCTTGCATGTAAGGTGCCCACTGCGTATACCAGCCAGTACACAATCTGGCTAAGTTAGTGTGTTAGCACATGCGTAATATATCACCAGAGGAGTTGTTTTTTTGTGATGAATATACATTTAAAATGGTTAGGGGATATCTCAGCATAGATTTCCCTAATAAACATTTATCAGTAGAGCTGTGTTTATAATTAGGAGAGCGCCCTAGCATGTAAAGTACAAAACACCTACTTTATGCCTTCCCGTCTTTCCCCATGCCTCCTCTGTCCCTCGCTTCGCCTCCTTTTTCTTCTACCGCCCAGCTATCTTCCCTGCCGCCTTTCCTCAGTCTCCCATCCCCTCTCCCCCTCAGCAAGCTATATTATGAAGTTTGCCTCAGACGGCACTGCACGCCTAACACGGTGCGCGCGCATGCGCAATATCTCCCGAGAGAAATCGTGTTTTGCAAAGATTATGCATTTATAATGAAGAGGAGTCATCCTAGCATAGATTTATATGATAACATTCCATCTCTAGACATCATTTAAGAAATAGGAGGAAGACCTTGCATGTAAGGTCCCGGCTGCGTATACCAGCCAGTACACAATCTGGCTTCGTTAATGTGTTAGCGCATGCGCAATATCTCACCAGAGGAGTTATATTTTGTGATGAATATGCATTTAAAATGGTTAGGGGGTATCTCAGCATAGATTTCCCTAATAAACTTTTATCAGTTGACATGTGTTTATAATTAGGAGAGCGCCCTAGCATGTAGGGTACAAAATTTCCCTAATAAACTTTTATCAGTTGACATGTGTTTATAATTAGGAGAGCGCCCTAGCATGTAGGGTACAAAACACCTACTTTATGCCCTCGCGTCCTTTCCCTTGCCTGTACGTCGCTCAGCCTCCTTCTTCTTCTACCGCCCCCAGCTATCTTCCCTGCCGCCTCTCCTCAGTCTCCCATCCCCTCTCCCCCTCAGCAAGCTATATTATGAAGTTTGCCCCAGACGGCACTGCACGCCTAACACGGTGCGCGCGCATGCGCAATATCTTCCGAGAGAAATCGTATTTTGCAAAGATTTTGCATTTAAAATGAAGAGGAGTTATCCTAGCATAGATTTTATATGATAACATTCCATCAGTAGACATTAATTAAGAAATAGGAGTAAGACCTTGCATGTATTGTACTGGGAAATGTTGTTGATCTCCGCTCCGGCATCGTAGCAGCGTCGAGTTAGCAAATGGTAGCAGATTGTAGCAAAGAGTAAAGACGATGTAGTCGCAGAATTTGTTCTTAAAGACTGACTTTATTAGTAAAACACAATACAAATATATATACACTACGGCGACCTAGGCACCCAAGCCTATAGGCCCCGTGTCTCGTCTTTGTGTATCTCCTCTATATCGTCTCTCGTCTCTTCCTCTGGGTAATAACTTCCCTGATTCTTCGTCCGTGCCTAATTTACGTTTCCGAAAACCGCCTGGCGACATTTTCCATCCGACCGGTTTTTCGTCATTATCGGCCGGACCTTGGCGGGGCTAGGTGACGCGACGCAAATATATAGTGCCGTACATCCCGCGTCATTACCAAAACAACAACGAACCACCAAGCCAGAACACAGATCAATTAGTTCCACTGCCTCGCCTAGCCTGGCTAGAAGTGCTACTGGTTAATTACAACGCACAATGTACAATACAACACATCTAAGGTCCCCGCTGCGTATACCAGCCAGTACACAATCTGGCTAAGTTAGTGTGTTAGCGCATGCGCTATATCTCACCAAAGGAGTTATATTTTGTGATGAATATGCATTTAAAATTGTTAGGGGGTATCTCAGCATAGATTTCCCTAATAAACTTTTATCAGTAGACCTGTGTTTATGTTTGCCTCAGACGGCACTGCACGCCTAACACGGTGCGCGCGCATGCGCAATATCTCCCGAGAGAAATCGTATTTTGCAAAGATTATGCATTTAAAATGAAGAGGACTTATCCTAGCATAGATTTATATAATAACATTCCATCAGTAGACATCATTTTAAATAGGAGGAAGACCTTGCATGTAAGGTCCCCTCTGCGTATGCAGGCGACAGATATCCACATCCAAGTGTGGCCTTAAACCACCGGGGGCCCAGGGCCCCGCTGGAGCAATAATACACTGTGCAAGTGATGCAGCCTACTTTTCTTTGCTGGAGCCGGTATAGCTTACAACCAAGGCTTACCACACACTACTATATAGGAGGCCTTGGTGGGCCGCCAGCATACACTATACTACATTACTATATAGATGGCATTAGGCCACCGTCATATACAATACTTAGTATTATACTTACTATAGTATTACTATATATGTGGTCTTGGGCCCCCATCATAAACTATTATTACAATTCTATATAGGTGGCCTTAGGCCCCCGTCATACAAATACTATATATGTGGCATTGGGCCCCCATCATACACTATTCTATTATTACAATACTATATACGTGGCCTTAGGCCCCCGTCATACAAATACTATATAGATGGCCTTAGGCCCCCGTCATACGAACATGACACCGAAAACACTATATATAACGTGCTACTAATAACTTACCGAGTGCTGCACTGGCGCTTGTCTTGTTTCCCCCCCTATTTAATGCTATATCTATGCCTATGGGTAATACAATCGGCATATACCTTGATAACTTGTTTTAGCATTACTAAAATACGTAAACAAAAAGAACTATTTTCGGTCCCGGAAGGGTTATTGTCGGAGTGAGCTGACGGGGGCTGCATGGAGGCCACCGGCGGGGGACGAGGTGGCCTAAAGCCACACTTGGATGTGGATATCTGTCGCCTGCTTATTATTTGGTTGCTACCAGCATGCGTTATTCGTAATATATACTCAGAATGCTCCCATGACGTTGTTTAAAATTTATATTAATATGTTAAGACGTCACATTAGGTTTTGCATTATTAGAGATTCAAGATCTAACATATCAATATAGTATGAGAATGAAAAGCAATGATAAAAGAGATATATAATAATATTATATATATCTTTTATCATTATATTATACAGAAAGCACTTCTCTGCATATTTTCCTTCATTTTATTGAAAATGTCACATTTACCACTATATATATATATATATACTCTTCTCCCTTTCCATTCTCGACTCGCTACTCCTTTTTTCGTTTTCTCATCCTCTCCTCCTCTACATCCTGCTTTCTATGATCATTTTACTCCACCTCCTTCCCCTTCTTCTTATCCTCATCTTCAATTTCTTCTTGAACCTTCTCTTTTCTTCTCCTCCTCCTACCCTTTCCACCGCTACCCCCCCTCCCCCATCTTCCTCTTCCTCCTCCTCACATCCTTCTCGCATCCTCCTTCCATCCTCCTTCCATCCCCCTCCTCCACCTTACCCTCTCTCTAACTTTTATTTGATTACAAATAATGCGTGAAATATAAATTATTTTGCATATCAATAAAAGCACGGCTTTCTATCGCATATATACAATATTATACATGATGCGTTTAACAGCATATACGACGTTTCAGCGCCGCGCCTATAGACATATCATAGCCAGTGGCGTTACTAGAATGACACATACTCCTGTACTGGGCGCGGAGCTGAGCCATAGATAATTGCCCAATGGGCGGTTGCCCCATGTTCAGCTATCTACGTTCAGCGAGTGACGTCATACAACTAGGAACGAATTGCGAGCCCCGTCCAATTCACCAGTCTTGAACAGAGCAGACGATAGATAAGACGTCAGTTGCTGCGCTCAGCAAAATCAACATATCCGAATGTAAGTCTAGCTTCTTGATAGCAAAGGTTAATACTACAGTTGCTTCTAAAACGCACAACGATATAATGTAATATGAATTCTATCAACTATATTTAAGTGCCGATATTACCGTCGATATTATAGTATCATTCTTATTTAATCGATACGCGTTTTAATTTTTTTTGTTTTAGCCAGTGATTCCGGCCCAGTAGAATAAAAGACCACAAACTCAAAATGAAGATTTTCCTAGGAACGATTCTCATATTTGCTCTGCATCTGTGTCAGGTGAGTTATTTACATTGTCACATATGAATCTAGCATTTTTCTACCTGAGCGCTATAACATGAGAATCATATATTTTATTACTGTCTGTCAGACATGATAACATTAAGTTCAAAACTGCACGTATGTCTATAGTAGAAAAATCAACGTTCTACACGATACCAACGTAATTTAAGATGTACTGCACGCGTATAACGGAATCTGTATATGTTTGTGATAAAAGTAATAGAAATAGTAATAGTCATAGTAATAGTGATAAATACTACTACTAATAATAATAGTAATTATAATAACACTAATAATAATAAATGATGATAATGATTTTATTGATTGATTTCTTTTACGCATCAATACAATTATGACTGTCAATAACATTTCTAAGCTATCTCTCACTTTCGTTTGTGTATCTTAGGCTAGCAAGACGATGGTCACCGACAAAGTCTACTTTGACATCAGCATCGACGATGAACCAATCGGTCGCATTGTTATCGGACTATTCGGCCAGACCGTTCCAAAGACGGTAGCCAATTTCGTGGCCCTGGCCAGTCACAGTGAAGGTTACGGATACAAGACCAGCATGTTTCATAGAGTCATCAAGAATTTTATGATACAGGGTGAGCGTGCTTTCAGTCGGCTTTTGCCAGTGCTTCTTATCACTCTGCTGTCGACGTTGTATGTAGCATATTTGCGCTGTCGGTATTTTGTTTCCATGCAACAATGTCGCATGTGTGTGTTGACAATATTGATTTTGCTGTGCTCGAGTAGGATTGACGGATGAGGTTTCAATTTCAGGAGGAGATTTTGAGAAAATGGATGGTTCTGGTAGCAAGAGCATATATGGAAAATATTTTGATGATGAAAACTTCGAGGTGAATCATTATGGACCAGGATGGGTTAGCATGGCAAATGCTGGTATGTACATTTTCGTGAAGATTATAAATAATAGAATTTTTTGTTTAATGGAGTATAGAAGTATGAAGAAATAATACATAATAGTGTACTTGTAAAAAAATATTTTAAGAAAGCTTGTTCAATTTATGATGCCTTATATATTTGACACCATGAACGCCATTTTTGTTTATAGGTAGGAACACAAATGGAAACCAATTCTTTATTACAACAGTAGAGACAGACTGGCTGAATGGAAAACACGTTGTATTCGGAAAGGTGAGAAATTTCTTCATATCTTTTTCATTCCCGCAACCATATGGTCCTTTATCGAGTGTAAAAATCGATCTCTTGCATACGGGAAAAGATAACAAGTATATACGTATAGTAGTCCCACGTGCGGCTACCTTGCGTTGAGCATCATACGTTTAATTCGTCATGCAGGTGGTGGAAGGAATGGGCGTGGTTGAACAGATCGAAAGCTTGGATACGGACGGGAACGACAGGCCTGTAGCCAATGCCGTCATCGCCGAGTCTGGCGTGCTTCCCGTAGATAAACCATATGACATTAATACCGTATGAAAATCAGACTCGTGGACAATAGTGCTGCAGCCCGTTCAACCATTGTCTTTCTCACACTAATTTTTCGTACTATTATGTTGTCTATACTGTTCCCAGGCTCGAGGCAGCATCACTCTTTTTATAAATTGTCTAATAAATTATTTTTTTGAAGTGGTTTTGCTGCCTAGTGCATGGTGATGTATTTAAATTCTTTGTGTGTGTCTCATGAAAAATATTGTGAGAGTTGAATGTACAGTGCCAAATCAGTTTCCTAGTAAAACTCTATATTAACATGAATGATATATTCTACTTATTTGTAGTATGATTTGTAGTACGTATGATCGGAGTATTGGCCACAGAGATGTTGGCTGTGAACAATATGTTCTGGATTATTTGATCGAATCTTTTGTATAATTTTCAACAATTGACATACAGAATCTCTGGAAGATGTTTTATAGAAAAGCACAGATGCTGTTTTGGTTGATGATAATCATAGAATCAAAAAGATGTTTATTATTTATCATTGCTGGGCTCCTTTTCGGAATTAATTAGGGTTGATGACTTCGCGCTTCAAACGAAAAACCCAGTACATGAAATAACATTTTTGTTTTAGATATTTGATCCAGTCATATGAAATTGTGTGGTTGAACCTTGTCGTGACAAGATAGAATAAATACATGTCTATTTCATCAAGCACCAATATTATTGATTTCATACTTTTCTGATCGCGTCGCCCATAATTCCTCCCAACGATATCAGCCCAATTAAATCCGTTTTGGTATACCGCGCGTCTGAGATGTAACACACACACACGGGGCCATTCACCTCCCTGGATGATAGGAGTCTCGCACATACAGCAGCTGGCGGGGCGAAACTTGGTGTGTTGCTTTAAGACGCTCATGGCTAGGGACTGCCACGTAAGCAGTGCCACGTAAGCAGTGCCACGTAAGCAGTGTCAGCCCGCACCCGACCGTACTTCCTCGCTTCGTGCAACGCGGCGGCTCGCGCCCATCTCCCAGTTTTTAGGCAGAGAAACTGTTGACGGCGTCTCAGTAGTCGGTCTCATGGCCACATGTGGTATATATGCGGGTACCGCGCCCGTGTGCGGAGACCTATGCTCAGTGGCTGAGGATTCCCACGCAGTAAAACCAGACGCGACCACTGTAGCTGCTCGTATTACCAAGCTTATATACATACATCCATACGAAGACAGGACAGATGAATTTATATGCGCGAAATACTCGAGATTTATTCACGTTTCTATTTCAGTAGCATTTAAACAATATAAAGCCTTCATGATAACTATTTGCAAAAATTGTATAAGAAAATTCGAATATGGGAAGTTGGGGCTAGTTGGGCAAGTCTGTATCAATGTAACTGCGACTATAAGCATTTACTTTGCTCTACTGCGCGGTGACTCCTCAACTCCTAACTGCAAAAACAGCAACATGTAAAAGTATATATTATGTTCGTCTTCCATGCCGCAATATTACGTGTATAACCGGCGTGTTGCCAGTGTTTATCGGAGGGCCCGGCTATAGCAGGCTGAGCATGTGGTAGCAGGCTAAGGTTTCACTTCACACCGCTTTAGCAGCAGCCGCAGCAGCAGCAGCAGCAGTTGGTCCCGGGGGGCGACATGCTCGAGTGCATTACACACACCCATCTATTCTCGCAGCTAGCTCGGGCGGCCCGCGCACATACTTACACGTCATGTAGCAGTGCGCGCGCGTGTATGTGTGCGTGTGTGTGTGTGTGTGTGTGTGTGTGTGTGTGTGTGTGTGTGCATGTGTCCGTGCGTGTACTTGCGTGTGTGCGCGTGTGCACGTGCGTGTGTGCGTGCGTGTGCGTGTGTGCGTGCAGGTGAGTGCGCGCGCATGTGTGTTCCTCTCTTTCTGTGCGTGCGTGCTTGCGTACGTCGCAGGCGTAGGTGTGTGCGCGCGTATGTGTGCACGCGTGCGTGTGTGTATACGAGAGAGAGAGAGAGAGAGAGAGAGAGAGAGAGAGAGAGAGAGAGATATAGAGAGAGAGCGAGAGGAAGAGAGAGCCGGGGGGGGGATGGGTGAATGACATCGAGTGATGACGCGCATATCAGAGCGCCGCATCGCTTCATTATTAAACCCCTATGACAGATTATCGATTATGCATGCTTCTTATCTCCACAGATCAATAACCGATCACGCATGCCATTTCCCGATCCCCTCCCTCACCCCTTTCTATGTCCCTCCTTCGCCTCCCCACATTTCCTCCCTCACCCCTTCCTATGTCCCTCCTTCGCCTCCCCACATTTCCTCCCTCACCCCTTCCTATGTTCCTCCTTCGCCTCCCCACATCCCTCCCTCACCCCTTCCTTCCACACCCCTCCCCTATCATACAAGTGTGCAGCTCATGTATTTTTACTATATATCATATCAAGAGCTAATAAATACCTTATTAGATCATATTATTATATTTATATATAATATATATTAATAGTACATTATAATATATATATAAATATAATATATAATGTATATATATATATCTCGCGCGCGCGCGCTCTCTCCCTCTTTCCTTCTCGCTCTGTCTATCTATATCTCTATATCGCTCTTTCTTTCGCTCGCCCTATCTCTCTCTCTCTCTCTCTCTCTCTCTCTC